AACTCAGTATCATGAGGCTAATTTAAATAGCAACATAAATACATACGAAGCTATAATCAATGTAAATATACAAATAATGGAGGATCAATTCTTTGCTTTAATTCTTCATGATAAGCATCATTTGTATTAACTAAAGAGACTCAAGTGCGAAGCTCCCAACTCATAACACAGAACACAAAGAAGACTCCCTAAAGAAAGGGGGTCCAATTCCCAAGATTTAAACACAAAATAATAAGAGTCAGCTACCAGAAACTAGAGAGAGTGCTAAGCAGATATATGAACTTCTCATTCTTAAACGAAAAGGAACAAAATTGTTCAAAGCATACGTTTGTGTAACCGGTGGCTGTTAGCGGGTTTCTTTTCCATTTAATAAGAAATATAAAACGCTAATAGAGAGAGAATGTTCAGACGAATCTAGCTTCAAAGCGACCCAAACCGCCACCTTTGAAGAAATAGAAGATTTCCAAAGTCATGGACCACCAACTAACCAAAACAAATTTTAAAAGATCATTGAACCAAGAATCTCCTCTGATGATCTTAAATAAAACACCTCAAGCTTTCTACAATCTCCTGCTCGAATTCGGCTTGAATCTCAAGCTTTGTTCTAGAATGAGCTTCGAGGTAAAAATTCATTTCATTGTGAAGCTTTCCCAATTCTAGATCTAAATATCAATCCAGCCCTTGAGGACTAGAATAAAGTCACCATATGGCTCATCATTGGAAGAATGTGAAGGGTTAGAAACTCCACTGAAACACTTGGGGGAAGGAGATTGAGAATTCGTTAGATCTTAAAAAATGAGAACATTTAGAGGAAGGAGATTTAGAGCTTTGGAACATCACTTTGTTTCTCTTCGATCACAACACGTTCTTTTTTCTTTTCTTTATCTTTTTTTTTTTTTTGATAAGAAACCGAACTTTTAGCAAATGAAAATAGAAGCATATACAAGGGCATACAAAAACAAAGGCCTAGAAGAAAGAGCCCTATCTAAAGAAAGGGCTTCCAATCCAAAAGAATTAAACCTAACTGATATTCTGATAATTACAAAACACGTTCTATAAGAAACCAGGCTCTCATTGAACAAATGGAAAAATACCCAAAGGTATAAGAAAAAAAGGAGAAAACAAAAGTCACCCGCAAAGAGGATTCAGATCTAAAAAAAATAACACCTAACTAAGGTACAAAAGACCTTAGAAACTAAAACTAGAGGAATTAAATTTAATGATGTCCCAAACCTCCTACATAGACCTCTCATCCCCTCCAAAAACTATGTTGAAACTATGTTATTTCTTTCCAGCCAAATACTCCACAAAATAGGAAAAATAAAACAAGACTGCCAAAGAACATTTTATTTATCCTGAAAGGGAGGATAAAACAACAGCTCCTCCACCATTGCCCAACAATCACTTCTAAGAGCCTATGGAACTCCAAAAGTATTTTTTAAAAAATGCACCACCACTATGGCCCAATCGAAAGGGAATCTAGTCCAAAGTATTGACTTTTCCATACATGACCTGCCATGAAAATAATTTAATCTTCTTCAAAACTTTAACCCTCCATAGTGAAGATAGCTAGGGGGGCCAGGGGAAGACTGAGGGATGCATAAAAGATGGAAAATGGAGCAAGGAGCCCTCTCGACGAACTATGGGACCAAACACGAAAATCTCTTCCCTTGGCTAATATGGACATTCCTCAGCAAAACCAGTAAGGCTGAAACCTTCAAAGTCTTCCTATATGTCAAAAGACAGAAAAAACCCTAAATAAATGGATGAAAACTAGTAGAGGATGGAAAACTGAAGCCACAGAATGCAGCTTCATATCAAAGAGAGGGTAAAGGTGGGGAAATAAGAGGCAAGGGGGTTTCTCCCACCCAAAAGTAAACATCATATCCGTCCCCAATAGAACATCTCATGACCTACAGAAAAAATAAGGGATAACTTTCCAGGGGCTCTTAGCAGAAGCCTAGCTCAGACCCACACTAAGGGGTGAGACCYGTACCTGCTCACAATGATCTTGTGCCACAAAGCATTAGGTTCCTAAAAGAAAGGCCACAACCATTTGGCCAGCAAAGCCCCATTACAAACTCTCAGGTTACCTATACCCTCAATCACAAATATGCTACTGTGGGTTTCTACTTTCTAGGTGCTGTGAAGCACATGACACCTCCAAGTATACTTGTGTCATTGTAGTACCAATAAAACAATATTAAAAAAAACTAACAAAAAGCACATTAGGGTCAATATAGTTCTATAGTTTCCTATAAAAAAAAAAAGCACATTAGGGCTCTTAGCCCTCACAACGCATAGAATGACACAGGATGAACAAAGAAATAACCTAGAAGTGAATTAATTAATTAAAAAATGACAAATTAAATTAAGAAAAATTAGTGTAAATGACCTGTTAAGAGACACTGGATGTGACCCTGGAAATTGCAAATTTGCTCTGGCCTGAAAAATAAAACAAGTAAGATACTGTACCAAACACAAGCAACAAGAAAACTGACTACTTCTGCAAGATACACATGCAAGTGCTTCAATATTTAATTTTATACCAGATTTCTTCCACACAGAAAGAACAGTTTACAACGGATATTTGTAAAGGAATCAGAATGAATGGCAGGGTTTCCTATAACGTTCAACCTTCAATGAGGATGCAATAAAGAGGGAAAAAAATAATGACAGACATGTTGGAATACTCCATACCAACTTATTGGCATGAAATTTAAACTAGTAAAGGCTCTAAATTCCAGTATTCTAACCCATTTTCAATTTGATTATTTCCTTTTTGTTTTCAAGTTATATCAATGACAATTATGATATGCACACATTCTGACTACAGTTTTCCACGCAGTACTTCAAATTGGCTTCAGCGATAAGTGCAAACTGAAATAAAATTTCATTTTACCATATGAAAACTCAGATGATCATAATCTACACTTTTTCATGATGAATAGAAGCATTGAGTACGACAGCAAAATATTATATCGAGTATAAAATATGTTCTATGTATACCAAATAAACCAAGTGCTTCTAAATTCTGAATCCTCAGCATACTAAAAATCTGAATCATTACATGAGTTGGTAAACATGCGATTCCTAAATATGAGTTGCACAAAAGGATACCTGTGACCAATGATCCAACTAAAAGATGAGTTTTAAAAAAATAATAAATAAATAATGATAATTAACAAAGAGAACCAAGAAATTGTAAGGGAAAAAGTTCCCTAATTTTTAGTGGTACTTTGTAAATAAGTGGTTTAAGTGAAAATAGAATGGCAGAATGCCCATCCAGAAAGTAAAAAAAAGCCAAGTCCATCCACAGCTAGCTTGTGAGAATATTAGATGGGATAAATGTCTTGGGTTCAATAAAGGAGAATGTGAAACCATGGACATCTTAGCAGTTGCAGGTAAAAAAAAAGAGACAGAAAGGAAAGGGCTTAAAGAGCATACTCCAGCATTCAATTTAAGCATCTGGTAGCAGAAGTGCTTCAAAGCACGTTCCTGGTCCTCGGGTATCTCATCTCCCAATATATCATCATTCGTCATCAATTGAACACCATCTTCGTGATTTTCCTGGAGACAGTTTAGTAAATTGTCTTCATTTCTAACTAGGAAACACAATTTAGTAAAAAAGTTCCATAGACTCGTCACTAAGTAGAGAAACTTATATATTATTGTTTACATTTCTTGCATACCCACTCCATTTATATGAAGGAATTGAAATATTGAAAAGAACGAGAACTCTTTAAATAGTGCATACATTCAAAGGTGCAGCAGGACCTCCATCATCATCATCATCTGGAACTGCTTCGCCATTAAGATCAAGATCTGAAGATCTCTTCCACTCAGGCGTGGGCGGGCAAACAACCACTTCAGGTTTTCTTTCATGATAAAAGGTATATAACCCATCAATGTAGTCTGGCTTGTAAATTCCAGGAGGGCGGGCATCAGAAAACGTTTTTAGAGCCTGGCACAAAGAGGATAACCCAAACAACCCCTCTCAAGGGGTAGAGAGACAAAACGAGAGATGAATCAATAGGAAGAACAAAGCAAGACTGAGGATGATCATGACACTTGAAACATTTTTCAGGTATATTTACTAACCTCAGTAACAGAAATAGAATGTGCACGCACAAGATAATTTATGATCATATATCCAGTACGATTATGGCCATGCGTGCAATGGACAAGAATAAACTTCCTTGAGTGTTTCTGACGAGAAAGGAACTGAATAACCTGAAAAGGTGACATTTCAATTAGATGTAGGCACGCGCAGGTTCTATAAGTATCTCATCTTCTTTTCTGAACAAGTATACAAGTCCAGGCATAGATAAACACTTAAAACACTTAATTAAAAGTGTGTGTATGACTGTATGTATGTGCCCACTGCCCACAGATGCCAATATACCTTTTCTCCCATATCAAACAGATATGGTGGAGAAGGTATTCTATGACCTAATGGACATTGCCACAACATGAGTTTGCTGCTTACTAACGATATCAATTGACAATAAGTTAGTAAATTGGTATATCAAAGTGACCCACGTTGGTTAAGTAGCAAGATGGTATTTATTTCTACACCAAAAATAAGTGCTGATAGTCATTCAGTTCCTAATTTCATGCTGTATCCAATGCTCCAAGAAAAATAATAATAAAACAAAGGTCAATCCCTTCCACTAAAAATATAATGTACGGAAGCACTACTTCTAAGAACGTGACAAAAGAATCTCAAGTGTGCATATATAAAATGGTACAGACCTCGTAAACAAACATATTGACTGACTTGTTGTCAGGTACAGAGTCCCTCCCCTTGCAAGGAATCTTCCCCCAACAAGAAGAACAAAGATCACACAATATTAGTAAAGTTTAATTCCTACAATCAGAAAGTACAGTTAGGATAACATGCCATACTCAAAAGACTCACCTTAACATACTTGATACCCTCTTTATTCAAATCTGAAGTCGTATAATAACGGTAAGAATTTGACAAATCAATCACCAAACCAAGCTGAAAATTTAGTTCAAAAGAAGCTGTTACTTCAACAGATAATCGTAACCCATGCAAGAATAACAAATCCTTTATCATCATATTTTGTCTTTTGGTCCTCCATATACACAAGGACAACTGGGGATTAAGAGGAATATGGAGATTCATGTCCCCCTTGATACTTGGGTCTTTGTTTGTATCTAGTAGGGTTTGGGCATAGAGATTTCTTGTTTTCTTTACAATCATCTTTAGTGAGAAATTAGTTCCTTATAAACGGAAAGAAAAATAGATTGCAGGATTAAGATGCTCCACCCTTTATCAGCAAATTTTGCAGTTTTCTCTCTCCTTCTCTGTATTTGTGTGTGCGTGTGCGTGCATGTTGGGTAGAGGGTGGGAGTGATAAATGAGAGACAACTTACTTTTCTTCCCCAAACTCTCTGTTGATGGATCACTTGCTTAAATGAGTATCTTTTACCAGGTGTTATACAATCATTAAAGGATTCACCCAGAGGAACCTTGGAAGGAATCATGCAACATATTTCTTTACCAAATGCAGGGCAATCCAACCAACCTACAGAAAAAATAGAGGTATATGGCAAATTTTGTAAAACATGGAGCATAGAAAAGATAACTTTACAGGTTCATTAATTTATCATGGGAGAATGAGCACTTAAAGCCTCAAATATTTGCATGAGAAAGATCCAGCAAAAAGTAGACACGTCGAACTTTCATGAACCGCTTTTCTTTTTTTCTTTTTTGGGTCGATTGAAACTGAAATATTTACAAATAGATGCATGCAAAGGAACTAAAACCTCCATCAATCTTAAAGAATGAGTAAAGGAGGAGGAAAACCATGAAATCTGAAAATTCAGGACATCACCTGGGGGAAGCCTGCTTCTATCAGATTTTTGGTTTTTAGCAGGATAAAACTGATCCCGAGCAGGTTGTTGATATTCATGCACTGGTCTCTCAATAGAGCGATCTCTTTTCAACCGCCTTTTTCTTTCTTCTCGCTCCTAACACAAACGAATAGATGTACAATCAAGCTGGACCGCACACCCAGATACAAATGTGTATGCATAGTACTGCTTGAGCTCATGCGAGAATAATACACTAGTGCGCTCACAAGAAGGCTAAGATTCCTCTTCC